ATATTCATAGTTAGCATTTTTAAAGGGAAATTACATAACACATGAAAATGTACATCAATGCACATCAAAATTTCAATGGGTAGCATGAATCGTCAGAACACCTGTCCTTACCTACAAGTAAGCTACAAGTTCAGGCACACATTTATTTTCCTGTTGGTTCTTTGCAATGTTAATAAAATATATTGTACATTACCAATAATTCTTTATGGGTACAGACACACACAAAAAAAAAGATTCAGAAAATCGATAATCACTTTAGCATCGAATCGCAGCCCTCTGAATCGTAATCGAATCAAATCGTGAGGTGCCTAGAGATTCCCACCCCTTAACCAAAACCCTCAGGGCAGTTTTGGTGGGGTTTTGGTGCATGATGAATCACAGTGGGATTAAAGCAAAAGTGCCCTGTGTGACAAGGCATCATCAACACTTGATTCTAGAACTTTGACAGTATTAGACATAAGCCTGAGTAAATTAATTAGTCGGTGCTTAGTCATTTGCGTCCTCTAATGGGATAGCAAAGGTATTAGACACCTAAGCCACTAACCATCCAAACTCTAAACACCTTGGGCCGAGATAATACTTATAGTAAAATACAGTGTAACAGGACAAAGTTTAACACAGTTTAAAACACATAAAGGACAAGTAAATATAACAGATTGCAGCTGCAACAGGCAGTCAAATATGATCATCATATCATATGCACGTGGGAGGCAATTCAGACAACAGCTGCTGACTTCTGCTCCAAATATGTGGATTATGAGAAGAAAAACAATAAGCTGACTATGATGTGCCTTTATATGGAGTGACTTTGAGACAAAGTCAATACAGGTGTCGAGTAGGAAAACACCATTTAAATTCACATAGCAATGAGAGAATTCCAATGATAGCATTTGTAGAACTACTTCACCAAAACATCACACAAGCTTTTTGGTTCCTGCTGACTCAGGCAATGCTGAAATGTAAAGAGCAACACCATCAGCAATGGCATGGCTCCAAACTAATGCTCAATGAACTTTGGTACACACACAGCCAACTGAACTACGATCAGCCATGTGCTTTAACCCACTATATCTCTAGTGTGTTAAAATCTCAAAGAGTTAGGGAAGCATACTGACCTTTTCAGCATGTACATCAATCAATTATTCCACATTATAGCCTTTACTTCTCATTCAGACAGCTTTGCAGTCACACCGCATAGACCAGGAAATGGGTGTGCCGGTGACGCAACACTTTTTAAACATCAACCTGAGAACGTTACTGCAGGTAAAAGGTAACAACCATGGGCGGGGCGTCCTTTCTTTTCCTGTCACTTCCTGGAATTTGAAAATCTAAAGTATAGTGCTGTAACCACTAAGGAAAAAGAAGAGGATGTGCTTTTTTTAAAACATGCACTCCTTGCTTGGAAGAACTATTACTAGCACTACTTCTCTCCACACAGCTCTTCCCTTTGCAAGAAATGCAATAGAACAGGCACCAATTCATTTTTATTTTGCCAAATTGGTTCAACAGAGATTCATATATTGGAGTGGACCATTTCTGATAGAACTGGAAATGATCATCATATGAACAATTTGAGTAAATAGGACTTCCCAATACATTTGGAAGAATAACTCTGCTATTCAGTGAAGCCTTCTCATCCTATTCAACTTCTAAAAAAACAGTAATTCATACATCAACTAACTCTTTAACAGTTATTATTACTCACAAACTGGGTTTGATGAGATCAAATTCAATTCTGATCAAATAAATTTTTCAAACAAAAAATAAAATAACATTTTGGAGACTGCTTTTTGGAAAAGTACTGGCTAGTTGGTTCTCTTCAAATATGTAATAAAATAAGATCATGGTAAGATTTTACACCATCTAAACTGTTCTTTAATTGCTAATTTAAAATCTAAATGACTTTTACTTTTGAGGAATATAAAAGATGTTTGTGAAACATCTCTGTGCTCTATTGTCCATCCAAAGGAAGTCTATGCTGCTCACCAAAACTGTTTTTGAACAATCTTTAAACAAAAAATTCTGCAGGAGAAAAATATACATGGCGAGTAAATGACAACGATTTTTGAGTCAACCATCCCTTTGAGCAAAGAGGTTAGAGGCTGTAGCCTATTGTGAATAGCCACTGTCCCAACATGAAGTAGAACACCTTACTTTTACAGTTACAGTAGTATTAAAAATATTATGCATAATATGCATTTAAAAAGTTAGCAATATAATAAGTTACAAAAGGTCTTGAATTTATTCTGTAAGATCTGTAATTTTAGCAAAACTTCATTGACAAAAATTTGCATACTTGATTTTCCAAGTTCAGGACTGCCAAGGTCCACAACTGTTTCAAAACTCCTCAACATATAAAATAACAACAGAAACTCAAATCTCCTAGTCAAAGTTACTAAACATTTCTGCATTGATGCATGACAACACAATGCTCAAATATTCTGTACTGGTATGCAAATCTTCAGATCCTGATAACAATCAATCATAGAACTAATCAAAATATATATTTATTAAAAAAACAAAGTACATATCCTCTGTTGAAGTCTCAGGACCAAAAAAAAAAAAAAGTCCAATCATAGCATTAGGTCCGAATGCAATGACCCAATGTCCTACCTACCTGCCTGTCAGCCTATGTTTTTCCATACCTCCGTGCACCCAGCTCACGCGGACATCACACGCCATCAGCACGTTCCCTCAGGACATGCAGCGTTGTAGACAAAGTCACACAGCGCCGCAAACAAACTGCAGCCACCTTACAGTTACTCCTGAACCAAAACAACAAGCTTTTTCTGCGTTCACGCCATAACCGTAATTTAGAGATGGCAGTTCCTGTGACGCTCTACTCAGAGCTGCTCATGTCCTCAGACTCGGATTATGCACTTCTATGTCAACACTATCAATGTCGAAATGAATCTGCAAAGTAGGTGGTACAAGTCAGAGCTATGCAAGTTGTTCAAGTTCAATATTATTGTAATACTATGTGCTTGGAGACATGAGGTATTTTAACAGGCTCTCGTGCTTTGCAGAGTATTCTTTTGCAGTACACGTTCGTGTGTTTTGGAAGAGGTGTGGTTTTGGAGACACTCTGAAGGGAGGGTGGGATCTAATGCTTTCAAAGCTAGCCTCTCCGAAATTGCCAACCCTACCTTTATCATAAGGTTCAAATTTGTTCTTAGAGTTAGTTCTTTTTTTTTTTTTGCATTCATAAAAATCTGTGTATGTCACTTTACTGATTTATTTTTGCATTGGCACTACAATTCAGTGCTAAATTTATGTACAGGTATGATTAACTGTATTTTGTAAATCTATTCATGTTACTTAAGAAATGATTAAACAGTGTTTTTAATAACAGCGCTGTGTCCTTCCGCGCCAGAAAGACACACCCTGCATGGTGCTCACATTATAGCCGGTCATTACAGCGGTCAAACTATTTGGTTACCCGTCATTGAGTCGTCGTCTTCAAAGACACACCTCCCCTCACAGCTTTTGACCAATTCTTTAGTAACGGCCGGGAGAATTGAGCTCCCTAAAAGGGTGGGGGGCGTCCCAAATCGGGCGAGTGTACACATGTACCGGCCCTCTCAGGTCAAGGTAGACGATAATGAAAAAAAAATCCCAAACATTCCAGCTTTGAGGCGTTTTGCTCGGGGTCTGATAACCATTATGAGCGGCACTGACTCACGCTGAGGTTCTCATTGGACTCTCAGAGACTGGACGTGAGGTTAAAAACACACACACCGTTAAACCTACAGTGTGTAAATGGGAGTCACTGTTAACACACACAGACAGAGAGAGAACCGCGCCTTTCCCTTCCCCCACATTCACACCCTTTCAAAATACTAACTCAACAGGTTCCCAAACTTTTTTTTCGTAAAGATTATTGCATATAACTTACATGATGAGTAAACTGACCGAATTTCGCCCTCTTCTGGGAAAAAATGCTAGTCGGAGTCAAAGTCACGTAAACCTGAGAAATAGTCTGTGCACCTGTGATCAGTTCAGGTAAAGCAGTAAGTGCGAATGTGATACTCCATATTTGAATCCAAAACATGCGAATATACTGCACTAAAAATCACAATTAAACTCAAATATATTCATTCTCACTCCGAAGTAATAATAAAAAATCCATAAGAGCCAGTAATTTATTAATAACCACGCGTATTCGTTCAATTGAATTTAAAATGAATGGCTATTATATTTTGCAACTCGCGTTATCAAAAAAACAATGCTTTTTAAAATGGTCAGGTGACTTCCGCAAACTCAGGTGTGTTAATGGGCCTTGACCCGTTTTACTTCGCTGCAGTGAACATTTCACACTCACTGCCATTTATTCACCCATAAATGCATTACTATCCACTTTAAATTCATATATAGAAATCATACGGACAACCCTATCAAAATACATTACGGTCCTGAAAGTGTATCCTGGAAGAAAATACTCACAGAGGTGTAAAAACTATTGAAATCGTCACATTATAGATCAAAGGCACTGAAGCTAACGTTAATCCCAATGCAAATCAATTTCGGGATTCATTTGCAGACATGCAGATTTATGAGCACAATTACAATTAGGAGCATCGTAATAATGTTTACTAACGCACATAAAACTAACGTTAGAGTTCTCTAAACCAATAACTTTATCTGTTCCATATATCCTGGATCTCTGCAATAAGGTTGGGAGGAAACACCGAAACGCTCCGTTATCAGGATCTCTTTCACGAAGCCAGCATTACAATTATAGGAAAATACTATGCACTCGATTTAAAAATGAACTTTAGGGGATTTCTGGGAAACAAGCTTCCTCCTTCCCAATGATCCTCACGCTCGTGCCATTTCGATTAGCACAGCAGCTAACGCCACTAACGTTAGCTTGCTAACATGGAGAGCTGGCTAACTTTGTTCTACTCCACTATTAAGAGGCCAAACAAGGAAAACCAGAGGACAACAAAGAAAGCCAACAGAGAGATGAGAACAAACAGAAGAGTTTCCATAGTGTCTACCTTTGTTTTTGGTTTCGTTAAAGTCCCGATGTGAGGTCGTGGCCTATCGAAACGGGCTTCTCTATGGCCAGTTTCAGATTTTCCAAGCGGTAGGAAGTGATTGTAATTCCAAACGTTTGCTGCTCTATATTTGGGCGTTTCAGCCCCACGCTACGCCAAATGCATCTGTCCTATTTTATGAGCTCGCTTTCTAACGCGTGACCTGTAACGCGTTTCCCCTGGATTGAAGCAAAACAAAGAAGAAACGTGATATGAACAAATTTAAGCAGTCTTTTTAAAAACCCACCAATCTATCTCGCTCCCCTTGTTCACTCCTCTCTTTGCTCTCGTCGTCCCACTGCGAAGCGTCTGACCCCTCCCCTGAAACAGGAGTTCAGCTCACCGACACCGCTTGGGCGGGGACACACGAGTCTGACTTTTTAATATGCAAGCGAACGAAAAACGTAATTTTACACTGCAAAAATAAATGGGCTTATAAATGTAAACGCACTTAAGTGCAGTTATTCGTTGCAGTAATTATCGGGCATTGTTAATATATCTCGAAACGACTTTTCGCGGCACCTTCGTGTTGGAATGATTGGAGAATTCCACCCAAAAAAAATGAGCTATAGTTTATGGGGAACGATATATAAAGAATTTTAATTAAATAAACAACAATAAATACACTCTAAAAAATGCTGGGTTGTTTTAACCCAATTTTGGGTAAAATATGCATACATTTTTAAATTACATTTTTAACCCAATGGCTGGGTTTGTCCATATTTTACCCAAAATTGGTTTAAAACAACCGAGCATTTTTTAAAGTGTAAATAACATTGTACGCTGTGATAAAATAAACAACAAATAAATATATAATGTAAGTTTTTCTGGCACAATTTAGTCGTACGTAGGTTAATATTTATTAAATCTCCTTTGTTAATAGCCTAAATTAATCTGTGATATAATTTTTCTTTCTTTCCTTTGGTTTTACCCTTTTGTTTATTATTTTAATGTATTTCTGTTTTTTGTTGTATTTCCTCATTTTAGTTCTCCTGCAATTTAGCCTGTATGATCAAACTTGAAGCATAATTTAGGGTTCCTCAGATTACAAGGGTTCAAGCAGTGTTAATTGTGCCTTGAGTGTCTTTAGATTTATATGATTTATCTCATAGTGAAGTTAGTGGTGATTATTTCTATTCTGTTATCTTGATGGACCTTCACTTGTTACCACAGAACTGACATTGCATTCAAAACATGTGAATTATTAATGTCTTGGTCCATCTCTGTTCATCTCATTAGAATAATTCATCCAGTCACTAGATGGATGTGTCACTTGAAGGTTTGAGAAACAGACTATTTTAGAAGAACAAAACAGTGAGATTGGGTGTTTGTGATAGCTGGTTCATGCTTTCAGATAAGCTTTTTAAATGTCAATGAAATATTATCTGTTGACAAAACAAATTGTCTGTGTTTTGTCTGTCTATTTTTAAATTTGAAATTGACCAGCTGAAAACAAATTTTATAATTAATTAAGTAATTTCCTATATTTCTTAAACCAGGATGACTCATGATCAGACTTTGTGACCAGTGAAGCAGCAGTCATATCTAGTCATTGTCATCTGAACCTTTCATTTCAATGTGGGAGGTTACAGGAACAGGAGTTCCCCACCCAGGAAATCAAGCTCAGCTCATATTAAAACTCAGTTCAGATGTTGAGAACAGGGCTCGACACAACCAGTCAGGGAGTTTGTTGATTAAAGCATTCAGTAGTTGAGTCAGAGTCGTGCAATATAGCTCCTTATATGACCCTAGGGTGCACAAAAAGTTCAGCAGCTACAACAGAGAATTCCACAGTTGTCCATGTGACATTGCATATCAGTGACTGTTAAAGTTCACATACTGGTAGCCACAGGGCAGCTTGCTGCTAAAAAAAAGAAAAGAAAAAAAAAGCCCAAAGTATGGGAGTAATTTAATTGCAAAACAAATGAGGTTTAGGATCACTGCAACATATTTAATGTCGCACAGGCTTTATCAGGTATTTAATAATAAAGAATATGATGCAAAGCTGCATGCGTAATTGCTATCTTTTGGTAATTTTGGATTGTGCTTTTGGAAAGGATTAATCTATTATGTTATGCATTATGAGGCTAACCCTGACCCCCCTAAAACGAATATACAAATATCTTTATTATGACACACTTCTACAAATCCACACTGATGCACTACATTATTTATACTCCAGTTTTAGTCCTCAACGTAGTCTGAGGCCAAAAAATATACACCATTCAAAATTTGGGGGTCAGTATGATTTTTTTTCTTTTGAAAGAATTGAATACTTTTATTTAGCATGGATGCAAAAGTGACATTATAAAAAAAGTAACATTATTGTAAAAAAAAAAAGTTGATTATGATTTTTATTTCAAATAAATGCTGTTCTTTTGAACTTTCTTATCAATAAAGAATCCTGAAAAAAGAACCACAGTCTCAAGAATCAAGCATCAACTGTTTGTTGAAAAACAGAAATGTCTGAAATGTTTCTTGAGCAGCAAATCAGCATATTAGAAAAAGGATCATGTGACAGACTGTATGCTGAAAATTCAGCTTTGTCAACAGAGGAATAAATCATATATATATATATATATATATATATATATATATATATATATACACACACACACACACACACACACACACACACACACATATATATATATATATATATATAATAGAAAACAGTTCTTTAAAATCGTAATACATTTTTACAATATTTCTGTGTGAATTTTTGATCAAATAAATGCAGCATTGTGTGCATGAAATCCTCCTTACCCCAAACTATTGAACGGTAGTGAATGCCCATCTGGGTCAATTGTTTTTTCTGTATCTGCTAGTTCCCGATGTTCTCTCAGAATGCCACAATTAAGGTCAGAGTGGAATCCATGACCATTTCAAGGACTGACGAAAGAAAAAGGCAATAAGGCCTTGGTTTGGAGCTCAAGCAGATTCTTTTATCATCAAGTGAAGAATCTTCAACGTAGCCCTCCTTAATCCTGTAATTGTGGACAAATGTGGGCACAGAGGACTCATGTGTGATCCTAATTTTTATTTATTATAAATGTTATCACTGTCTTGGATAAAGTTTTGTCTATCCATTTATGGTGGGGTTTTTTTGTTTATTTTGGGGGTATTTTAAATGTATTTACTTCAAAAAGTACCATATTTTCTATGTAAATTATGCTTATTTTTATGTTTTTATTTTTTATTTTTTTTTAACTACATTAAAATATCATTCCAATAAGTTCTTAGAGCTAAAACCTAAAGATGAAGTGACTTTGCTGTCACCTGGTGTCTTATTTTGGCTTATTTTAGAATGCTCTAAATTACAGTTTTTCCCAATCATTTCTATTTTTGGCCCAAATACAAGATTAAGGAGGTTTTTTTCACCCACTTAACATTGTAGTATTAAGTAAAAAAAAAAAAAAAAAAAAAAAAAAAAAAATTGTGTGTGTTCAGGAGGCAAACTTATGAAAAGTAGCCAAGTCTTGTACTTCTCAGATCAAGAGAAGTATTTTTAAAAATAAATCAAAACTATTTTGCCCACATTTGTCCACAATACGGTTTTAGGGTTAAATATGGAACCAGTTCTGTTGTATAAAATCAAGATGGTGCATTTCACACATAATGCAGACTTTCTTGAAAAGTCTCTGGGATTCAACATCATCAAATAGACTGTCACCAATGAGGAGCTATAGGAGACTCAGATCAAAAATATAAAAGGAAGCAACCATCTAGGATTGTTCATAATGTCTCAGGACAGAAATAGGTAGAGGATTCGGCAGGTGATGCCTCACCTCTGGCCCAGCAGCTGAGGGTAAGACAGGTTTATATTTACATCACAACATGAATGCAAAGGCTGACAGACTATAGGTGGCCAAACCAAGAAAGAGCTGATTACCAGTTTTTCATTGAGGTGACAAGAAGAGGATACAGAGACAGGATCAGTCGCAGAATGTTTATTTCTGCCAAATGTGGCAGTGTATGAAATAATTGATTGAACTCATTGTGGTTGGTTAGAGTTCTCTTGGCTCCATCTAGTGTCCATTGTACAGTAGTGCCATGTAACATGATCTGATGGGAAAATGTTACAAGCAAAGTTATTTTCTTCCCAAACTCAAATGAGAGGTAAATTACATTAAGAACGCCTAACAATTTTACCATGATGTAGATCAAAATAATGATTAAATCAAGGTATTGCCTATATATATATATATATGGATGTCAAATGATTAATCGCGATGATTAATCGCATCCAACATAAAAGTTTGTGTTTACATAATATATGTGGGTGCACTGTGGGTGCACTAATTATATATATATATATATATATATATATATATATATATATATATACACACACACACACACACATGCTTGTATATATTTAAGAAATATTTTCATGTATATACTGTATATAGATTCATATATACTTTATATTATATCTAAATATAAATATTTTATATATAAAATTTTTTTTTCTTAAATATATGTGTTTAGATATACAACATAATTATACACAGTATAATTAAAGTATAAAAAGTATAACCACATATTATGTAAACACAAACTTTTATTTTTTATTTGCGATTAATCGTTTGACAGCCCGGTTAAAAATCTTTGTCATCCTGTGATCAATGTATGACTGTTTAGCAGTGCATGTCCTCAACAGTGCATGTTCTTATTGGAGGATTCTATAGAGCTGAAAACATTGTCAGTTTCAGTATTATAGTATGTTTTATCAGTCTCTTTTCAGTATCAATTATTATACTGTAGGGCAGGCTATAGGAAACTTTTCCAGTATGGTGCGTCATATTTTTCAGAAAACATTTTTATTTTAGTATCCAGTTTTTCTTTTGCACACAAACATTTGATCCAGATCTTCACCTTTTACACAAAACAAATTTATTTTTACTAGAGTCTTACTGCCAAGCACGTTCAAACCATAAATTCAAACACACGAAGGTTTAATGTCAATACACAAGAGGGAGCCAGATGGTCACAAGATTTAATTATCTATTAAACCAGGCAGGATTGATGTAGGCCAGGAACTGCAAGCCCATCAGTGGCGTCATGCCCATTCAAAGTGAGGGGGCACGTGCCCCCTCAGATTTTTCCTCCCTGATAATTTTTTTTAAATTCTTTTAAAATTTATTTTAATTTTTTCCCTGATTCCTTTATTCCTATTATGCTCTATAATTACCAGAGCATACGACTCAAATATATTCTTTTTCTTGATGTGTGATAATAAATCGGTCAGCATTAGCCCGCCCGTTTTTCCTAATATGGTGTCTGTGTATCAAATCTACGCGCGTAGAGCAAAGCTTTAAAATCTTTGCTGTGTAATATGTTCCGGCGGTACAAGCAGCTCGCACGTTGAACTGGCGAGTGGTAAGTTGGAAATGCAACAAATCGGCATTGAATTAGTTATCGGATGATATTAAAAGGTAGTGGGATTATTTATGGTTGACCTGGACATTTTAACTTGATCAAAAGTTATGGAATTGATATTAGCTGCGAATTCAGAGCATTAACAATGTTATGCAGTGTAACGTTATCAATAGCTAGCCTAGTGTAACCGTAAACTAGTTGGCTAACGTTACTGCCTGCCATACAAAACTCTTGCAACTTGCTCTCTCCCTGTCTCCCACCCTCGCACATATTATTAATCAAAATAAATCGACACGGTGGTAAAAGGTCGGAAGATGAAAGTTTAATGTGGAGCATTCTGTGTTTTTCCCCCTTATTTACCGCTGGGTGTGAATTGTGCTAAATAAGTTGCCTTATCTTCTCTGAGAAGCGTTCTGGACATTCAGTTGACATAAACATGACATCCATGTCCTAACAGCTAGGATAATCACACAACGCGCATAACACGTCCAATTCGCGAACTAATGACTCATTTGAACCGATTCATTTTAATGAATGGTTAAAACAACTGATCTTTCCAACAGTGAACTCGGGAGACGTCTGAATCGGTGTAACTAATCAGTAACACTTTACAATAATGTTCTGTTTATTACTTGAAAGTTGAATTACATAAAAAGTACAGTTTGCTTAGGCTACTCAAGCTTAAGATTTAAAAAAAAAAAAAAGCACATGACTACATTTTTCCACAAAATGCTATCAAGAATCAATAAGAGAATCGTTAAAGAATCTGATTCTGATTCTAAAGAATCGGATCGATAAACAGAACGTCATTGGCATTATTATTGTTAAAATCTTATCAATTCCATCCATATGGTAAGACAGTAAAATTATAATCTAATGTTAAAGAACATACATGTTTTTTAATAGTTTTTTTGAGAGTTAAAAGATTAAAACATTTTGCTAACATGAGGTCTTTGTGTCACTGTCAGTCTTTTTACAACTAGGGTACGCAGATTAAGACCACTGTTCATCAGCATGCACTGATTTATCCCATGGCATGTAGAAAAGAAAAAAAAGGTGCGACAAAATCATATGCTCAAATAAACGGGGTAGTGTTAACCTTATTCAGCACTGAAATCTGTCAAACTTCTTTCAAAGTCCTTCATCACATATTGATATTAAAATAACTTAATTTCAGAGAACCACAAAGTCAGACCTTAGCCCCTTTATACTGTATACCTTTAATGTAAGATCGTTCTTAGGTCACATACCTATTTAAAAAATCATAACATAAAAACTGCAATGGTACTGTTTTTAAAACATGTGTAGAAGGCCTAAGTGTACAGTAAGTGTGTGTGTAAATATGCTTTAATGAAGTAGACTTCAAAAGCTTTTGAATTTGAGCTTACAGTTCTTTCATCAACCTGTCTTTTACATAAACTTACAAAAAAGATACTTTAACTTAGTCCTCAGATAGAGGAGGGTTGCTGCTAGCTCCATTAAGGTATTTCTGTCCCTCCCAAACTGCATTGAAATGGTATGTTTAGCAGCCAGAATTTAAAAAAATTTCAGGGGGAGAAACCCCCTGACCCCCCCTTACATGACCACTCATCAGGAAACAATTGCAACATCTCAGATTGTGCCCCCCCAGAATTTTGGCTTGCATGACGCCCCTGAAGCCCATCATTTAACCTTTTCTGGTCATATCCTTGCTTTCGCACGCTCTGCTTTACCTCACACACATCCACATAAAAGAGGTGTCACTTTGCATTGAAAATGGGTACAACGGCTAGGCCTACTGTAAAGGCCTTTTTCAATAGTCATGCATTTAGAATTTAAGCATGTAATTCTTTAAAATAATAACTGGTGTGGACTGCTGATAAATCTGTAATATTAGTTTGTGCTAAACATGTTCGTGTTGTGATTACCTTTAGTAGCCTAATTGCCAGGCTCATGAACGCGCGTAGACGTGCACGAGAACTGCTGTTCAGCTCGAAACGGGAATTTGCAGCGCTTCGGCGATTCCGTGATTCACATCAATGTGACGAGAAGAACGTCGTGAGTAGATGTCTATACGCAAATTTGGATATGGAGAAACTATTTAAAATTTTGATTATTTGACTGATCATGCCCATAGATTTTGTGTAGCTAGCTATTATTGCTCAAAACTGCAATGGAAAAGATGTCAACAGAATTCAGTTAATTTTAGATGGTTTTAATTTGATTTGACTTTTATGATTATGTCTGATATATCGCCTGCATCTGGGATATAATTTACATTAGCCTATCCGTAAAAAAAAGTTGGACGAGGAAAACTGTTGTTCTTGTTAGAGAGATTAGAGCGCGCAGACATAATCTGGATTAGTCAACTGTCCACATAGAGCGAGCATGTGTGCCATAACCTACTGCCATCAGTGATTTTAACCTTATGTCACATTTCAAGAAAACTTGACAAAGCACCAGAATGTCTCTAAATGAAGGCATCGTGATAAGACCTCTTGCGTCAGGGTTTTGCTATAGCCTAAGTCTAACGTGGACATGAGACATTGATTTGAGTTAAATAAAGAAGGACGATTTTTTAAATGGAATATTGCATTATTTAGGCTACTATAGCCTAAATGATTTATCAGTGCACATCTTTAAAAAAAAAAAAATAAAAAAGTTCATATACCCGCGTAATCTTTAACAATTGTATCACAACATGGAAGAAAGGGCTATCACAACGTCTGTTCCAATCCGAATGGAATTTTTTTTTTTTTTAAATATATAGGCCTAATGTAAAAATGACACATGAAAACAATCTTCCTAACACTTTTAATGTATTATTATTATTGTATTGTTAAAATTTTTAGCTGTTTTGTTTAATGCTCGCCATATAATTAAATAACCTCTGATCTATTGTTATTACAGACAATATGCCTCATGACCCCAATATGGTGCTAGGTGAAGATTGTAATTTGCAGTGCAAAAAAGACAAAAGTAATACAAAAGTAGCACAGGTATCCAGTTTAGGGGTCATTATACAAAACACTTCACCACTCAGTGCTGACCAATTAGAATCAAGTATTTTTGGAGGCCATGTAATGATCTGACAGATGTGTGTTTTGGCAGAATTCTTTATATTGATTACATGGAATAGCACCAGTAAAATTTGACCTAAAACATTTCTTTGTCTGTTTTGTCTTCTTGCAGTTTTACATAAACTTCAGACATATGCGTAAAGAGGGTGAGATTTGCATAAAAGATGCTGAGAACAAACATGCATAAATGGGATCACACAAATAGCTATTAATATAATAAATCCCACCCTGCAGTGAATCTTTATGAATGCACCTTAAATGTTGTCAAGTTGTTTTCAGCAGCAGATTTAAAGCCCGCTCCCTTGAGAAGAGCATGCACAACTTAAATTTAGTTCAAACACGTGACACGCTTTATCTCTACCACCATATATTGGCTTGCATGGTGTGTTTCTGGTCAAATATGAGCAAGCTGTAACACACAAACAAGAGAAATGGATCAGCTCATTTAAACAGATTGGCAAGTGTGCTTTCCTATACAAGTGGATAGTTCTAAAAGTGTTCCAATCCTGACCCTGACGGCGTGGACGCAGAGGATGCTGGGATGCAAGGGATCATCTGGAATGGGGATGAGGTATAAGTTGACTCTGGCTACAGGACTGCTGGAGTGCTTGTGTTTCGCTGGAGTTGTGTTTGGCTGGGCGTCTCTCGTGTTTGTCCTGAAGACAGATGGCTACTTCAGCGATCTATGCATCAATGTGACAGATGCTAGAGGAGAACTTGGCTCAGGTGAGGTCATTTACAATGGTTGCTTTTATTGTATTAGATGGTTCACTTAATTTTATGCTTTTGGTGCATTGCTTATCTGTTTTCGCTTTAGATTGCAGTCTGCAAGATGAGAATTTCTCATCGGTCTTTACCGTGGCCTCGTTCATGAACAACTTTCTCACTCTGCCCAACGGATTTGTCTACGACCACTTTGGCACGATGGCAACGCGGTTTTTGGCTATGTGAGTTAGTCCCTTGTAGGATGTAAAACAGAGATCAGGCAAGAATTAAGGCAAGTGTCTCTGCAGTGGAGGCAAGAAGTGTATCTGATTGTGAGTGGGGTGTGCTTTAAGCAGATAACTCATCGTGGGCGTTTGACTGGACTCCAAAAACAGAGCTTTGTGCATTGCAGACATTAAAAAACAGACCCTAAGTAAAACTGCCACAAATATTTGCAGTTGTGTAATGTTAGTTGCCACTTGTTCTTAAAACTTACAAAAAGGGAAACACTGAATCGGCCCAATAATATTTGAGCATTTAACCTGTTTACGGTCACCCCTCTTTTTTGGCATAGATCTGGTTTTAGTTCATCATGAATGCTTTGGAATACAGGCCTAAGGTTGGTCTCTTTTTAAACTCAGAAGATTATCGTAAAAGTCAGAGAGCACTTAAAAAAATGAAAATGAAAAAAAGTAATGGAATTTTTTAAGTTTACCGTAAAGCAAATATACTGAACAAAACCTTTTTATTTTTTATTTTATACAATATATACATGTTGTGCAAAATTTGGACTGTAAAATTGCTTACCAAGCTGTGATCCAAATTTTAAAGGAGTAGTTCACTTTTAAAAAAACTTTTGCTGATAATTTACTCACCCCCATGTCATCCAAGATGTCCATGTTTTTCTTTCTTCAGTCGAAAAGATATTAAGGTTTTTGACGAAAACCTTCCAGGATTTTTCTCCATTTAATGGGCTTTACGGGGCACCAAACGGTTCAAGGTCCAAATGAGAGTTTCAGTGCAAACTGCAAACTGTTCAAAGGGCTTTAAACGATGCCAGACGATGAATAAGGATCTTATCTATTAGTGAAACGATCGGCCAATTTTAAAAAATAAATAAACGACTCTCCTGTGCGAACTCGTTCATCAAAACGAACAAATCTTTTTTCGAGTCATTTCGTTCATTTCGTTCGTTAAATGAACCAAATGACTCGAAAAAAGATTTGTTCATTTTGATGAAATGACATTCCTGGAATGTTTTCATCAAAAACCTTAATTTCTTTTCGACTTAAGAAAGAATGACATGGACATCTTGGATGACATGGGTTTAGGGTTGGACCAAGGACGGACCCTTGTGGCACTCCACAGGGGTCCGTCCTTGGTCCAACCCTTTTTACCATTTACTTACTACCCCTCGGTCACATCAACCATAAACACAAAGTTTCTTTCCACTGTTATGCTAATGCTAATGATATAATCATTGTTTTTGTAGATTTCTTTATACCACCGGCACTTTAATTGTGGCGTTCTCCAATAAAGGTAAAGACTGACTGAAAAAAGTGAACTAATAATCACACATGTCACAGGCCTATTCGGTATGACTAATTTTCCTCTCTTTTTCCTCAAACAGTTCTCTCTTTTTTGCTTTTTCCTGCTCTGTCCTTCATAGCTGTAGGGGGGATTTTATTTCTAATGACAAATATGCAGGTATGTTCATGAATGATTATAGGTTATACATGCAATACAATAAGGGTATGCTAAATTGCTTATTTGAATTATCCTCATTACAGGTGGGGAACCTTTTTGTCACTCATAGATCAACCATTATCACAGTCTATAATGGGGCCTTTGACTCTTCATCAGTTATCTTTCTGATCATTAAGGTAATCATCACAAACAAACAAACACACACACATATAGACCTATGCAACGTTTTTATCAGCTGTTCATGCAACCCATGAAACCCTGTAAAACCATTTCTGAAGGTGCTTTATGAGAAAGGGGTCTCTCTTCGCTCTTCATTCCTCTTCCTCTCGACCTGTAATCTTATTCATCTTCTCCGGACTCTCTTCCTTATGCCAACATCACACATTCCCTATCCCATCCCAGAGAACTACAAATATGGGTGAGTGAAACGACAAGTGGATTTATAGTACCTTTCGAAAGTTTGGGGTCAGTAAAATGATTTCTTTTATTTGTCAAAAATGCATTATATCAAAAGTGACTTTTACATTGTTACAGAAGATATCTATTTTAAATATATGCGGTTATTTCGAACTTTCTATTCATCAATATTGAGCAGTTTTAAAAATTGATGATAATAATAAATGTTTCTTGAGCAGTTTTGGTTCCCCCAAAGAACCTTTCAGTGGTCTGTACTTAAAAGTACACTTTTTTTCTTAGTGTGATGAACATTTTAATAATTTTAAAGAAACATTTTCAAAGAACCTTTCGGAAATATTCCATGGATGTTAAAGGTTCTTCATCATTGATTCAAATAAAGAACATTTATTGGTAACACTTTACAACTAGGCTCATTACACTCTAAAAAAGACTCGGTTGTTTCAACCCAAATTTCGGTCAAATGGACAAACCCAAATGTTGGGTTAAAAATGTAATTTAAAATTTTAACCCAATTTCAAATTTCACTCTCAGCTGTAATTTTTTTAATTACATTTTTAATCCAACATTTGGGTTTTTCCATATTTGACCCAAATTTGGGTTGAAACAACCCAGCATTTTTTTAGAGTGAAGTTAACATTAGTTAATCTATTATCTAACATGAAATAACAATGACACATTTGTTACAGTAAATATTAATCTTTGTTGTATATTATATTATTTAATAAAATAAAACAGCTGTTCATTGTTTGTTCATGTTAGTTCACAGTGCATTAACTAATGTTAACAAATACAACCTTTGATTTTAATAACGGAATAATAGTAAATGTTAAAATTAATATTTACTAAGATTAATAAACGCTGAAGAAGTCAAGTCACCTTTATTTATATAGTGCTTTTTACAATACAGATTGTATCAAAGGAGCTTCACATTGATAATAAGAACAACACAGATCAATAATATTGTTGAATATTAAATGTCCCCAACTAAGCAAGCCAAAAGCCAAGGCAAGAAGTATTGTTCATTCTTAGTTCATATTAACTATGGTAGTTAACTAATGTCAACTAATGAACCTTATTGTAAAGTGTTACCCATTTATTTTTAAGTTTATAGTACATCATTCATACTCGTAATATTAGTATTAGTAGCTCAAAATCAATGCAAATCCTTATATACAGGATGAGCTGTGCTAAATCAAATAGCTACAACGTTGAGGAGTACGAGGCAAAGCAGGACCCGAATTCAGACAGAGGAAGAGGTGCAGATGATGAGCCACTGGAGAGCGACTCACTACAGCAAACACACAACTCTGAGAAAGGTGCTGCTTGGCCATCCTAGATCCTACTTTGGAAGAAAATAAGAGGAACACAATTGCTGACTTAAAGTATTTTTTTCTGTAGACAGTTTTAGGAGCTGTGTTCTGTCCTGGTTCTTCCTGTGGCACCTCATATGGCTGTCAGTAATGCAGCTTCGCCATTATTTCTTCATCGGAACTCTGAATCCAATGCTGAACAGACTGGCCAACCAAGACCCAGTCATTGGTAAACAAATTATTTTCTATCTACGATGATGCTTTTTAATTAATTCTGTAATTCTTTGTTAATGGTAGGACTTTCTGGAACTGGAATTTAAATTGGATTGACAGGAAGATTAATTCAACACAGTCACACATCAGACTTTGGGGTGAATTTAAGCATTTGGCTAATAAAGTAATTTTGCACCATGCTCCATGAACTTGTAGATTTTAATATATTAAATATTTAATCCTTTTTAAATATGTGTTAAGTGTATATACACTACCTGTTAAAAGTTTAAAATCATTAAAATGTTTAATGTTTTTGAATGAAGTCTCATTTTCTCACAAAGGCTATGTTTTTTTTTTCACGTTCAAAAAACAACAACACAGTAATATTATGAAATATTATTACAATTTAAAATATCTGTTTTTATTGTAATATATTTAAAAATTTTAAATATTGTGATAGCAAAGCTGAATTTTCAGCATCATTATGTCACACAATCCTTCAGAAATCATTTTAATATGCTGATTGCTCATTATTATCAATGTTCAAGACAGTTTTTGTTGCTTAAAGGAGTAGTTCACTTTTTAAAAAAACTTTTGCTGATAATTTACTCCCATGTCATCCAAGATGTCCATGTCTTTCTTTCTTCGGTCGAAAAGAAATTAAGGTTTTTCATGAAAACATTCCAGGATTTTCTCCATATAATGGACTTCAATGGGAACCAAACGGTTCAAGGTCCAAATTAGAGTTTCAGTGCAGCTTCAAATGGCTTTAAATGACATCGGGTGATGAATAAGGGTCTCATCGGGACCATTCGAGTCATGACTCGAAAAAAGATCTGGTCATTTTGATGAACGAGTTTGAACAGGAGAGTCACGAACGGAACTACAGAACAGAGCAAGGCAAACATTTGTGCTTATAAAACTTAAACTTATTAATATATTTTTCAAATGACCTATCGTTTTGCTATATAAGACCCTTATTCATCGTCTGGTGTCGTTTAAAGCCATTTAAGCTGCACTGAAACTCTCATTTGTACCTTGAACCGTTTGGTTCCCATTGAAGTCCATTACATGGAGAAAATCCTGGAATGTTTTCATCAAAAACCTTCATTTCTTTTCGACTGAAGAAAGAAAGACCTGGACATCTTGGATGACATGGGGGTGAGTAAAATATCAGCAAAAGTTTTTTTTAAAAGTGAACTACTCCTTTAATATTCTTGAGTATATTTTTTACAAGAAAATGCAATAAAACTATAGTACTATAATATACTGATTCTGATTCTACATTTAATTACAAAATCGAATTACTGAATTACTGAAATGAATGGCATTGGTATCTCACCTGCTTAAGCCTTACTGTGATAGGTGCAGAATTGATAGGTTATGGCTATGATCTCTTTTTCATTCTCAGTGAGTGAGTACACCAATGCGTTTGCTTTCACCCAGCTCTGTGGAGTTCTCTGTGCTCCCTGGAATGGCCTGCTTATGGACAGACACAAAAGAAAACCCCTTGGTCCAGGTCAGCTGACAGAGAAATCTAAAGATCTGACTTCTAATAACGTACCTTTACACAAGATCCATTTCTCACTCCCTCATCTTTTTGCAGGCGTGTCAGAACGAGAAGCAGACCTGCACTCGTCCGTTCTGTCTCTCCTCCTCACCTCTCTGCAGTGCCTCTTGTTCTCCATCAGTGCAAGCATTCCGTTCCTCCCTCTCCAGTACGTCACATTCATCCTTCAGGTCCTTAACCGCTCTTTTATCTATGGAGGGAACGCTGCATTCATCAGCATAGCGTAAGGAAATGTGATATATAAATATCTCGATTGTCACTTGATTGGCAGACTGAGCGCAGTGAATCTGAATTCCTACAGGTTTCCGGCCCGCCATTTTGGAAAGCTGTATGGGCTAGTGATGTCCCTATCAGCTGTGGTGTCATTGCTGCAGTATCCCTGCTTCGCCCTCAACAAAGTTCTTGGAGGAGACCCCTTCTATGTAAGCGAAACATTTCACCCCCCCAAAAAAGGTTTTAAGTGACAATATACTAAGATCCTGTTTTTTAAAAATAAAGACAAAAATTATTGTCACGCTTTCTGGTTCACAAATGTAAGTGAAACATGTGTCTGTTGATGTGAACTTAGTTCTGAGAAAAGGAGAAAATATTTTGTTATCAAATATAATGTAAATTCATACATTATAAGTGTTCATTTAAGGTTTGAAATACTTTATTGGGGCTGCTAGATGTTGATGCCAGTTTCTGGAAGACAAAAATGCTTCAGTAAATCATAATTATGACATAAAAAGTAATAGATTATGACATAAAAAGTCATAATTATGACATAAAATATATATATATATATTAAATGTCAGAATATAGCTTTTATCTCAATTTCCACTTTTTATATCATAATTATCACTTTTTTATGTTGTCAAAAAGTACATTTTACAAGAATACATTTTTCTACTTCAATATTTCACGCTTAATTCAAATGTGTTACTTGCCGTAATTTACTAGCAATTTCTGAGTGTAAACGTTTTTAAGGCATCTGTATATCTTTTTATGTCCAAAGCATAAAAATTGATTACATGGGAGAAATGGGCTTCCATACAATACCTGCAACTAAGTTATATGGTTAAATAAAAGTGAGTTAAGTCTAAAATATTAAAATATTATTAATTCTTCCTGTGTAAACTGGACTTAATCACTAACTTGCTTTTTCACAGCTTTTATTGTAATCAGTATATTGATTGTATTTCTGTAGGTGAACATCATCTTGACTGTCCTGACTCTACTGGCCTTCATTCATCCAGTCTGTGTGTTTCTTCACTGCAGAGAACTGGCAAAACACAGAGAGAATTCACAGAGCATTTTAGAAGTCTCTATACACGACATATCAATGTATTAATTTAAAATAGGTCAAATACTTGATTATGCAGATCGGTCTTGGCCTTAGCTTTTGTAAATGACAAAGGGAATAGTAAAATCAGAAATAAGAGTTAACAGTCAGAGGTTTAAACGAATTCCATTTAATTGAATTAGTTATTGAATATTTACAATATTTATGAATACAGAAATAACAATAAAAATATTAAAATATGTTTTTTTTTATAGTTCAGTGCTGTTTGCAAGAACAGTTAGAAAGAACAACATTGGTTTAAACGTTTGCAAAGGGAGATCACATGGGTGTCAGAAACAGGTTCTTACAAGGGATCTCCATGGCAATTGTGTTCAGTAATTCCAGACTCTTCCGTAGTTGTACGATAACCAGTTTTGCATGCTAATGTCCTGTGGTTCCCACATGGAAAGCATAACAAAGCCCTAAAAGCATCATACAGGAACTCTAGACCCACAAACACACATAATACTGATTTATATCTGCCTTTGCATTGTCAATCCACAATGACCATGTACATCTTGTATACAAATGTCAGTAGTTAAAATAAATTTTTTATAGCATACTTTTGTAGATAATGTGTGCTATACAGACTGTGGTCCCCTTACAATTCTGAAACTTGAATAAATTAGTTAAGTTGTTGTGTTCTTTGGACTAGGTCATGGTTAGTTGGTCAGAACATAGTTTTCCTCTTTGTCATAAAATCAAGCCCATGTGTGAAATAAAGGTCTCTGTATGGAAAGAGTATGGTGTAATTACATAAGGTAGTTAATTAAAGGAGACGCATATTATTTCACTCTTCACATTAGGAGTTGGCAAACTGATGGCTTTCTCCCTTTGTCATGTGTCTTCCAAGTTAGCGAGACATCATTCGGACAAACTCTGTGAAGGGTAAGGTGAAAAATAGTTAGTTTGTCCATGCATATATATTTGTTACATTATGTGTAAGTTCCCTCAGTTTAAATAAATGGTCTTTTTGGCCAGGGGAGTAAGTTTTACATTTTTAGTTATTAAAAAATGCTTTTTCATGTCATAAGCTTAAGGGAAATTTTATTTCTCATTTAAAATGAATGCATACAGTGTCATCCATTAAACTTAATGAACTAAACAGAAATAATGAGAGAGGAAAAGTTCCAGCTGAATTATAAAAGTACTTGGTTTGCAAATGTACATTAGTGCAAGAACAGCTTTGGTATATACTAAATATATATATATATATATATATATATATATATATAATCTAAAAATAGAACTTCTCTAAGTTCTATCAAATTCAAGAAGAGAACAATTTTCTTTCTAACCTTCAAAGTCAACCAGGCCGTCTCCATTGAGGTCAACATCCCTGAGGATCTCATCAATCTCTCTGTGGTTGAGCTGCTCTCCCATCAGCTTCTTCATGGCTTCCCTCAGTTCAGCCAGACTTATCTGACCATCACCATTGGAATCAAACTGAGAGAAAGAGATCATTTAAAAGATTAGTTTACCGAGAACAAAAAAATGTGACTTCGACATTGGAATACAATACGCCAAACTATTAATTGACTACTAGTGCTTTTTAGTGATTTTCTGCTATAGATTTTAAAGTCTATCATGGCTACACCTGGGTGTGAACATCATTAGGATGCATTAAAGTAATTTAAAAATGTCCTCACTCGACCGCTCCAGACACGTCGGTCCGTACGCCATCTTGCAACAGTCAGCGTGTCGTCATCCACAGTAAATGATGTCACAACCACCGATAATTCAATTCCCAAATAAATTGGATAACCTTTTACATGTGAGAATGTTTTTTTTTTCACTATCCCTTTAACGCTGCGTTAGCGCCTTTGTATTGTTGTAGGCTAAATTGTCAGTTTTCATACATGCGTCTAATTTACTGTTGCAATCTGCAGATGCTCAGTCAACTTTCTCTCGAATTTTCATTGACCGGCTTTAACCGCTCCAATATGGCGGACGGGTATATAGTCCGCCAATGAAACAGCCGCTAATAAGGAATCTATATATGTGTGTGTGTGTGTATATATATATATATATATATATATATATATGGGAGTAATGATGGTGAAAATCAAGCTCTGCCACCACAGTACTAAATTACATTTTAAATGGAAAAACAGTTGTAACAGTTAAAATGTATTAATATTCGCAGTTGTTTGATCAAATAAAGGCAACAGGTGAGGAAGCATAAGCAACACAAAAAATTTCTGTTAAAGGGGTCATGACCTGGCTTTTTAAATTTTATTATATTGTTGTCTGAGGTCAAATTATGACGTTCGCTTGGTTTTTGCATTCAAAAACATCAAAATGAATAGGTATTAGGCTATTTTGTACCCAAGTCTTGAGCCTACCTGATAAACGCTCGGTTTTTATGGGCGTCTCGCACTGAAGACTTGAAAATAAACGCCCACTGCTGTGAGTGGATAACAGTTTTGCATATTATAATGAGTTTCAACTCACCGGTCGATGCACTTGGAGGAAATTGTTTTGAAAACGTCCAATGTTGTAAAATGGCTACCGGAATGATTCGCCCCAGAGTCTGTGTGTTGCACCATTCCTGTCAGATCCAATATAGATGGCACAGCACCGTTCTTTACCCTTAATCGGTCTGCAAATCCAGTCTGGTTTACAAAACAATCGTCAATGAAATGAAGCGAACAGACGGACAATGTTTTACCCTCATCAGCTGGAGGGGAACGTCATTAAAAATAACCATGCAGTCCTATTGGAATCCAGAGGAAGCATATGCAGCCACTGTCTTCTTCCACAACCAGGCACGGCACAATATTTTGTATTGCTCGGTAGCTCGATCCGGTTTGTCATCATGAGGTAGGCATCTATGTTATTTAGCAATGCGTGTAATGCGCGAATCGGTGGGTGGGGCTAAACCGGCCGCGTTGAAGTAGGCGTTGATCAGGGGTGATGTTTTATCCTCTTTGACGTCACAGTTCCCCACTTTGAAAAACGAGTCGTTTGCCGGGGCTGGTGTCAATAAAAGCGTTTATTGGACTAAAAAGGATGTTTTCAGTTCTGAAACTTACAGGATATTCTTATAATATGATGACCTCTTAGATGTCAAAAGCTCAAGGAAAATTTAATTTCTCAGTTTGTCACCCATTTGATTATAAAGGGGGTTAATACTTTATCTATACAGTTATTAGATCACCAACCTCTCTAAAAGCTTCTCTCAGTTCTTTCACTCCAATCATGTCTGCAGTCTCAGCCAACATCTTTGGGCCCATCAGGTCTACAAAGTCCTCAAAGTCCACTCTACCGCCACCTAGTGAACAAGAACACGATCATGTAAGAAGTTATATTTATGCTTCTCTTGAGTATAACTGAGATAATTAGCCTAAGTATAATGAAAATGAAAAGGTTGCCACTCACAGATCTGCTGACTGAGTTCAATCAGCTCCATCTCAGTGGGCATGTAGCCCATCGTCCTCATGCACTCGCCCAGATCCTTACAGCTAATGAAGCCGTCCTTATCTTTGTCAAACTCGCGAAAGGCTTCTTTCAGCTCTGAAGGCAGAGAAAGAAAGAGAGGAAGAGAGCATCTTCCTGACTTTGTTGACATTATGTAATCAGTCCAAGTAGGAGGATTCTGAAGGATAAAGGTACGGCACTCATTTAATTTGTAGAAGAAATAGTTCAACCAAAATTACTTGCACTTATGCAATTGCAAAGCCTAAGCCAAATCATTTTTTTCCATATAAGAAGACAATGAAATCATATAGTAGGCCTAAGCAGAGTCTGTCAAGCTCAGTCCTGATTTTTAAGGTGCGAGAGCGGACTGAAGTTTAATCAGTTCGGTCAAAAGGTTTAGAGACAGGAAAGAACCAATTCCATTTGCCGTTTTTTTAAATATGGGAAAATGTGAATGAGAGCTATGGAACATTCTTTGAATTTCCACTGAACAAAGAAAAAGGCTTGGAAAGACATGAGTGCGCGGAAATGATTTTCATTTTTTGGGTGAATTATTCCTTTAAATGTATCTTACCAAGGGATTTAGAGGAGACTGAAGGTCATTTTTATATATAAACAGAGAGAGGTAATGGTAAGTATCCATGTGGAAAGAGGGAGAGAAGTCAATAAGCGAAGGAACGATATTATTTTGGTTGATGGGAGGATTTATCGCTCTTAATGAAATAAAGCATATCAGTGATGTTGGATATTTCTGTACCTTCAATTTCCTCTGGCCGTAGATCTCTGTCCTGCAGTGAGTACAGATTTCAAAGAGACATACAGAGACAGACTATTAGGACAAACACATTGCACATTGATTACGTAGACAGGCAGACACACACACACACACACACACACACACACAGACACACAGTGATTTACTCATCCAATGTTGTGGATCCACATCATAAAAATGATGGTGGAAAATTCCTGTAATCTGCTTTGCATTTAGACTGTGCTTGTTGAACTGTCACTCAAATGTCATTGTCGCTGAGGGCAACCATACACACCGTTGCATGAACGAACGAATGAATGGAACACACGTGGCTCTGATTACTGGTCATCACAGGTATGGGGATGCCAGCCCGTTCTCATCCCAAGATGTCAAACGCGTCACTATATGACACCCTAGGATGAGAATGCGTTGGGAATGCCCATATTTAAAAGGAGATTGACACATAACGTTATCATATCAAAGCATAAAAGGGATAGTTCACATTGAAATTAATTTTTTTTAATGTTTTAGCTTACCTCAAGGGCATCTAAGATGTAGGTGTCTTTGTTTCCACAGTATTTTCAATTTTGATATTTTTAGGTCAAACCGTTGTCTGTCAGTCATATACTGGAGGTCTATGGTCACCACCTCAAAGAGCATGCACAGAGAAGTCCAAATTAAACATGATTTAATGACTCTTGGCCTAAGACACGAAACGAGCGGTTTGTGTGAGAAAACGAACAGTATTTATATCGTTTTTACCTCTTGTAACCACAGCCACAAAGCCTGCGCCCTCAGATCACTTCGAGATGGCTGTACAAGAGGTAAAAAGAGATATAAATACTGTTCGTTTTCTCACACAAACGCTCGTTTTGTGTCTTAGGCCATCAATGTGTAGATACTTACATTTACGAGTCATTAAATCATGTTAAATCTGGACTTCGCTGTGCATGCTCTTTGAGGTGGTGACCATATACCTCCATTATATGACTGACAGACAAGAACGGTTTGACCTAAAAATATCTAAATTGAAACTACTGCGGAAACAAAGACACCTACATCTTGGATGCCCTTGAGGTAAGCTAAACATTCAAAAATTAATTTAAAAATTAATTAAAGTGAACTCCCTTTAAAGCAGGCATTTCCTTTTCTCCTTTCCAGGAATTTTTTGAATTATGACATGTTCTTCTGAAAAAATCCACAAAATCCTGCCGTTTAGGATATAATTATGGATTTAATATAATGTTTGTCTATGATTTTAACAACATATTTTATTTTTTCTTAGAATAAACAAGGCTCATTTTGTGCAATTTTGGTAATCATCCGGAAGCAACACCGATAAAGAATCACAGAATTATGATATTATGCCTTATATCTGAAGTGAAGGACAGAAAAGCACACACATGGGATTGCGTGTCGTCATCGGATATTCATATTCGTGGAAATGGAGAAACTCAAGTCATTAAAACATTATCAGCATAACTCCAAAAAAAGAACAAGTGCATTTGAAATCTCATCTGAAACAACATTTACACATTACATAAGTGAGATAATAAAAAAAATGG